CATCTTTGCAACCGTTGGACGACGGCGAGCACCACGTTCTGAAGACCACCCGTCCTCCGCCCGCGTACCCCACACGTCGTAATACAAGGGAGGGGGTCACAACCCTCCGAGACGGAGCACTTGTAGACCCCACAAACCAGCCATGAAAGGACGGCCATTTGCTCAGACCCCCAGGACCCTCAAAGGCAACTCAAATCAGACCCCCCCGAAATAAGACCACTCCCCTTTTGTTGTGAAATCCGGAATGACGGTTGGAAGGTTTAGCTTCAGGACATTACGTCGCAAAGAAGCCTCAAGCGAAACGCACGGCCTACGGACACGTCAGGTGGTCTGACAGGGGGGAGAACAAGGAGGAGGCAGGAGGAGGAGGCGGAGGAGGATGAAGAGGAAGAGGAGGAGGAGGAGGACCGGGGACCAGGACGCAGTGTCCCACGGAGGCCCCCTGTGAGCCCTGAGAGGAACCCTCAGTGGAGCCCCCCCTCAAAAGGAAAAGCCCACCCCCAGCCTCTGCAGGTCCCCCTTTGGAGCCACTCCCCGGGTGCAGGCTGACCCCCGCTCGGAGGACACTGCGGGCGTGCCTGACCGCCTCGGGCGGCACGCCGCGACTGGGGCAGAGGCCCTTGCGAACCCGCGCCTCTGCGACTGGGCTGGCCTTCGCAGGGCACGGCCACCTTGGCCAAGGCGGACGTGGCCGTGCACGCGCACGCATCAGAAGCCTCCAGGGCTGGGGCTGGGGTGCATCAGGGGCAGTGGCCGCCTCCTCCACGCGGAGCCCCAGGGGCCAAGAGACGGCAGGAGACGCACAGCCAGCTACCCCCCTGGACGGAGGTCCAGGGGTGCTGGCTGGCATCCAAGACGCGCGTGCGTCTTGGTTTGGGGACGGCCCTTACCCTCGGCGGCCTCTGGGCCACCCAAGCGTCGATCACATCGATCAGCAACGTGTCGACCAAGGCCCTACGAGCACGCTGGCGCACCTGTGCTGCGATGGCGTCCGTGACGTCGGTCCAGGGGACCCGCCCGACCACCCCCCTCTCCCAGGCCTCGGAGGCCGCAAGCCCCGCCTGAGCGTCAGCACTGGTGTTCCACAGCTGCTCGAAAAAGCTCGGGAGTGACCAACTTGCTTGGGTCCCCGTCCATGTGAGAAGAGATCCAGATGACCTGAACCTCCTGGGGTCCTCGATTGTTTGACCATTTGTCGCCCAGGGGGGCCCTGCGACAAAAGGTCACTTGTGGCCCACCGCCAGCACAGAGAGACTACTACTGGCCAAGGCTGTCTTAACTCGGGCCCAGGGGTCCCCATTCGAAATGCGGGTGTGGACATGCCTGGCAGCAGCACTCCAACCAAGACAGAGGCCGCAATGGTCATAACAGACAATGAGTTCTGCGGTCGTGCATTCGAGCCCGAGAGCGAAAGCAATGGGCTCGGCCATGCCGCCGATGCCGCCGCCCGCAAAGCAAAATGCGCCAGAGCGGCGCTGGAGCGTGCAGAAGCCCGCGCCGCACCGCCTCCTGCGCCCGTCGTCGCTCGGCTCTCCGCCACTGCCGTCTCCGAGGCGGAGTACCCCACCCGCATAGCGGCAACTCTCCATGTCTTGGACGACCGAGCTGCTCCAGTCGGCCTGGTCTTCGTTGAACTGAGAGGTGGTGGCCGTCACGCTCGGAGGCCCGCGCAGCCACAAGGCTGGGGCCACCTCGTGCTGGACTCTCGCCTGTTCCTGCAGGTGGTCGGTCTTGGTGTAGTCGTCATGCCCGCTGTTGGACGGGCACTCCCAGATGCGGTGGAAGTCGTCCTCGTCAGCCAGGCCGCATCACGGGCATGTGCGGTCGACCTGGTATCCCGCCTCGGCCTGGCGGACACGCGGCCACTGGCCGCCAGACAAAACGATGAGGTTTTGGCTGCAGGTGTCGACCTGGCCCTTGAAGCGGCGCTGCTCCTTGTAGACGCCGCTGGTGCCGGCGCCGTCGGCAACGTCGGCACCGTGGTGGTGCTTGCTGGCGCTGCTCCACAGCTGGCGCCTGTGCCGGCGCCGTCGGCAACGTCGGCGCCGTGGTGGTGCTTGCTGGCGCTGCTCCACAGCTGGCGCCTGATCGCCTGCATGAGCTCCAGCTCCACGGCCAAGGTGTCCATGTCCAGGTCCTCGCCCTCGGGGGGCCTCCAGCCACTGCCAGTGTCGTTGGCCCAGTACGTGGCCGAGACAGGATCCCATCCGACGTCCAGCAGTAGGGCGGTGACGGCGGCCGTGGGCCCGCAGACAGCACGCCAGCGCCCTCGTGGCCCCGCGCTCCTGAGCTTGGCGAGGATCTTGGGCCAAGCCAGCTCGATCCGTCGGCGGAACTGCGGCGCGATCCTCCGAAGGTCCAGCCACTCCGCCAGCAGCTGGCGGCGGAGCTACATGGCGGGGCCCCTGTCGCCGTGCAGCGCGCCGAGGAGGCTGGTGAGGCACCTGCCAGGGTCTCGGCCCGCAGCGGAGGCCGCCGCCGCGCGCCTCAGCCGCAGCACCGCTGACGGCGCCAGCCCCAGCACCTGGTGCCCGTACATGGCCTTGGGCTGGGCGGCCGTGGACCAGAGCGCCTTCGTAAGTCGGTTGAGGCGCGCCTGCTGGCGCATTCTGGCGATGCGCCTGAAGATGAGTGCGCTGTTCGCTTCCTGATGGCCGTCTTCCTCCGTGGCCGCCGCCTGCCAGCTGCCACGTCAACGCCGAGGTCGACGGCGGTGACGGCAGCCTCGCAGGGGACGCCTCGGCGCTGCAAAGCCCTCTCTAATTCGCGGCCCAGCACAGGGTGGCTGGACATGATGGGTCGTGCCTGACACCTGGAGGCTCTGTGCGTCGAGGCCCTCCTTGAGGGCCACCGCCGCTCCAAGGATGGTGGAGCGCACTCTGCTCTGTGTGTCTTCGGCCCTGGCGACGGTGTCGCCCACGAAGGTCCATAGCTGCACATACTCCCACTGGCGGTGCGCCTCCGCAGTGATGGGCCCGAGGCACAGCTTCGCGCACCTGTTGCCGTGCGAGGAGCCAGCCACGACCGGCTTGCCAGGGTTGATGATCGGCCCCAGCCACCTGTTCTGTCGGAGCCTGCGTGGCGCCAGAAAGAGTTGGGTCTCCGGTGCCGGCGCGGTGGCTGGGACGCCCTGGCTGATCCCCGCCCGAAGGAGGCGGTCGAAGCCGATGCTGTCGTAGAACTTCACGATGTCCAGCAGCAGCAGCGTGGCCGTGCAGAAGCCCAGGGTGAAGGCCGTCTCATCCATCATGGAGCGCGCGATGGCGGCCCGCAAGGCCGACGAGCCTTTGATGGCCGTGTCGCACCAGTAGTGCTCAGCTTCGGCCAACTGGTCGGTGGCAGCAGCCCTGGCCTTCGGGTCGTCTTGGCAACCGTGGCCAACATACCGAGCACACGGTCTCCATCCGCAGGGCTCGGCACCGCAGCACCGATGGTGGTGGCCAGCTGCTACAGAAGGAAGAGAAGGAGGAGGAGGAGGAGGAGGAGGAGGAGGAGGAATGCAGGAATCCAGTAAGGAGACAGCGTCTGCTCGCAGACACAGCTCTACCACCGTGGAGGAGGAGGAGGAGGAGGAGGAGGAGGAGGAGGAGGAGAAGGAGGAGCGGGAAGATAAGCAGAAGGAGAAAGGTAAGAACGACAACGTCGACAACGAAGACGCCAACACCGACGACCGGGACAACGACGTGAGGGACCAGGCCGGGTCTCCATGTCGCTATAACAATTTGGACGCCCCCGCGGCCAGGGCAGCCGGGCGTTCGCGAGGCAGTGTAGTACAGCGCCGCTCCTCCGAGAAGCGCGCAGCACACGCCGCCGCCGCGGCGGTCGTCGTGATCGTGGCGGTCGTGGTCGTCGTGGTCGTCGTCATCGCCGCCGCCATCGTCGTCGTCGTCGCAGTATACTCGCGTCGTGACGTCGTCGTGATCGTGGCCGTGGCGATCGTGGTCGCCGTGGACGTCGTCATCGCCGCCGCAGTCGCAGCATGCAGGCAGCTGGCGCGAGGTGTGGCACAGAGGAGGACGACGACGACGAGGGTGGTGGGGGTGAAGGAGGGGGATGAGGGAGACGACGGCACGCCAGCGACTCTTGTTCCCCAACCCACCTCTTCCCTCCTCATCCTCCTCCTCCAGGAGGAGCAGCAGGCGGGAGGGAGCAGCATGAGGACAATGAGCAGGACGACGACGGGATGGTACTAGAACGACGAGATGCAAACGAAGAGCAAGGACAAGAGGGATAACAATAGATAAGAGGATGACGACGACGTCGAGCAGGACGACCACGACAATGGCGACCACTGCGGCGGCGGAGGCGACGACCATGACAAACACGACGACTACATTACGACCACGACGACGAAGACGACGACATTACGACCACGACGGCGACGACGACGCCGACGACGACGACGACAGCGACGGTGATCTCCAACGCCGCTGGACGGGCCGCCGAAGGTTTGCCTCAGTGCTGCCTCATGACCCCCGTCGGCCGTGGATGGGCTGGCGGACGGCCAGGGAGGTTTCCAACTGCCCCCAGAGGTCTCAAGATGTTCCTCTGGAGGTCCCAGGAGGTCTCTGAGGGGGCAGCGCCACCGACGACAGGGGCACTGACGGCGACGACGACGACGACGGAGAAGGCAGCGGTTGCGGCGACGACGAAGACGACGACGAAGACGACGACGACGACGCCGACGCCGACGACGATGCCGACAGCGCCACCGACGCCGACGACGACGTCGACGGCGGCGGCGAGGACGACGACGTCGCGGACGGCGCTCCAGGCACGTGGCACTCCAGCGCTGCCCACGAGTGCCGCTCCTGCCGGGCCGGGCAAGGGAGGCGAGAGAGAGTGAAGCGGAGGAAGGGAGAGGAAGAGATGAGGAGAGGAGAACGAAAGGGGGAGAGGAGGGAAGGGGAGGAAAGAGGATGCAGGGAGGGAGAAAGAGAAATGAGAGAAGTTGGAGGGACAAGCTGGTTGCGCTCGCGTCATCTCTGCCATCCTACCACCCCCCACCCACCCCTTTCCGATGCGCTGATTGGTTCACTCTCCGCCGACGGGTGTCATACCGCACCTGGAACCCCCTTAATGACCCAATCGTGTAATGCGCAATCGGTATAATAAAAGGAAGAGGAGGAGGGGGAGGAGGAGGATAAGGAGGACGAGGAAGAGGAGGAGGAGGAGAAGGAGGAGGATTAGGAGGAGGAGGAGGAGGAGGAGTAGAAGAAGTGGGAGAGAAAGATGGAGAAGGATGGAGGAGGGGGAGGAAAAAAAGGAGAGAGAAGGATGGAGGAAGAGTAGGAACAGGAGGACCCTCCCGCTGCTCCTCCCCTTCTCCTCCTGAATCTGCGAGAACCACCGACTCTCCTATGCAGAGCCTTCCTAACCCTTCCAAAACCTCTGACGACTCCCCATCTCTCCCCCCCCCCACACACACACACACACACACACACACACACACACACACACACACACACACACACACACACACACACACACGCACACAGACAAAACTTCTTCCTCCTCGCCCTCCTCGTCCTCCTCTTCCCCCCCAGTGCTGCTGATACTGTTCCTCTTCACCCTCCACCTCCTCCCCTCCACCCTCCTCATCCTGATCGTCATCCTGATCGCCCCCATCCATACATCTGGCTGAAACTCGCCTGAATAGAGGGCGCACGTCGCAGTAAGCACAACATGGCCCAGTCATCGCCGACGGCATGGAAAACGAGGGCGGCAGAGACGAGATGTCCCGTGGGAACCTCTACCCCCACGAACGCCCTGACCCTCCAAACCGTCATACCCACCACTTGCATTATGTCTCCTAGCACGCGCCTTACTGAACCTCTCCTCCTCCCCCTCCTCCAGCGGTCACGGGCCGCTGCACCATCTCAGTGATGCATCGTCCCGCATGCAAGATGCAACACCAACATTATTTTACTCGTGGCTGAGAGTGGTCCCTCCGCTTCGGCCCCTTTCACGACCGGTCCCTTGTGTAGCCCATGATGGTCTCATGATAGCTCTCATCCCCCTCCTTCCCGCCTTCCTGCCTGTCGCTAAAGGTTTGGCGACCGCACTCACCGACTCAGTTGGACTTCCGATGGGCCAGAAATCATGTGCCCCAACTCGGGGATACACGATGGGGTGCGTCCGCCCTCGGTACTTAGGAGTGCGTCCGAATGGCCGCCACGGGGTATATCCCCGAGCTTCCCCCCTCTTCTAAACGACCGACGTTGTTCGGGGGGACCTGTTGGGCACACGCAGACATTCGGCGCCGAGCGAGGGGGGGAAGTGAGAAGGAGAAGGCCTGCTCAGAAGGCGGCGGGACTTCTCACGAGCCCTTGCGCCTTCTGAGAAACTCTCTCTGTCTTCGGGGATGGCTCCGAAAACTTCTCAGAAGGCTGGGGGACTTCCGAGACTTCTGGGGAGGCCCGCCCCTTCCCAGTTCCCCCCTCGCTCGCCGCCGGAACATGGATAGGAGGAGGAGGAGGAGGAGGAGGAGGAGGAGGAGGAGGAGGAGGAGGAGGAAGAGGAGGAGGAGGAGAGGAGAGGAGAAGATCTGGCGCGTGGGCGGCAGATCCACGGATCGGGGAAGGCCCCCCCCCCCCGGGGAAACAGAGAGCCCGTCCCGCGCGATCTGGCGACGAGGCGCGCCGATGCTGCAGGGAAGCCGGGCCCGCATGGGGGCCGAGACATCGCCTGCGACCCTCCTCCTCCCTCCTCATCCTCCTCCTCCTGGTCCTCGTCCTTCCCCCCCCCCCGACGAGAGCAGAGCGGGGAGGGAGGTGAAGGCCTGGCCTCCCTCCCCCCCCCTCCCCCTCCCTCCACCCTCCATCCTGCTCCCTGCCTCGCTCGCCCCAGGCCTTCTGTCGACGACGACCATGCCGCTCCCCCCCCCCCCCCCTCCTGCTTTTCTTCCTCCTCCTCATCCTCCTCCTCCTCCCCCTCCCCCTCCTCCTCCTCCTCCTCCTCATCATCGTCATCCTCCTCCTCTCCTCCTCCTCCTCCTCCTCCCCCTCCTCCTCCTCCCCTCCCCCCTCTCCTCCTCCTCCTCCTCCTCCTCCTCCCCCCCTCTCCTCCTCCTCTCTCCTCCTCCTCCTCCTCCTCCTCCTCCCCCTCCTCCTCGCCTCCTCCTCCCCTCCCCTCCTCCTCCTCCCTCCTCCTCCTCCTCCTCCTCCTCCTCCTCCTCTCCTCCTCCTCTCCTCCTCCTCCTCCTCCTCCTCCTCCTCCTTGACACGGCTCCCACCCCCCCACCCTCGCCCTGGAGAGGGCCGCGGGGCGGGCGAGAGCAGCAGCGGAGACGGGGCCTCCCCGCGGCCGCGCCCCAGCAGCCGCCCCAGGGCCGGCCTCTCCCGCGGCGCTGCGTACCTCCCCCGGGGCGCGAGCACGCGGGCACCTCGCGCAGAGGCCCAGCGGCGCCGGGCGGCGGCGGCGGCGAAGCCCGCAACAGAGGCAATGACGACGACGCACGACGGCGACGAAGGACGACGAAGGACGACGACGACGAAGGACGAAGGACGAAGGACGACGACGACGACGAAGACGACGACGAGGACGACGACGACGAAGACGACGACGACGGCCGACGACGACGACGACGACGAAGGACGAACGACGAAGGACAAAGAACGAAGACGACGACAAAAGACGACGACGACAAAGACGGCGGCGGTGACGACCTGTCCTTGGCGTCTTCTGGCCAGATCCTCGATCCAGACCTGACAGTGGCCCCAGAAGGAGAGCAGAAACGCAGAAGACCTCTCTTCTCGACCCTCGATCCTCGACGACGATGACGACCCCAGGGGTCCGATGTCTGGATGCCAATTCACCACAAAGATACTCCCCAAAGGCCAGGAGCCCTTCCCCAGGGCCGGCTTCACATCCCAAATCGTTCTCTGACGGCCGGCCCCGGTGCCCGAGGCCAGCCGCTGGAGGCGCCGAACACTTAGAAACATCGCCGTCTTGTTGTTTCCCACGCGTTCGATGTCTGGGACTGACGACGACAACGACGACGACGACGACGACGAGACGACGACGAGACGACGACGACGACGACGACGACGACGACGACGACGACGACGACGACGACGACGACGACGACGACGACGACGACGACGACGACGACGACGACGACGACGACGACGACGACGACGACGACGACGACCGCGGGGGCACCAGGCGAACTGCAGGCCGTGGGCGGCGCAAACGCCTGCGCAGGAGGCGCCAGCGTCGGACAGGTACCAGCAGCGCCCGTGCAGGAACGCGCCTGGCGTTCTTCCTCCTCCTCTTCCTCCTCCTCCTCCTCCTCTCCTCCTCTCCTTCCTCCTCCTCATCATCATCCTCATCATCCTCATCATCATCACATCATCATACATCATCTCATCATCATCATCATATCACACATCATCATCTTCCTTCCTCCTCTGCCTCCTCCTCCTCCTCTCCTCATCCTCACCGTTTCTTCTCAATTTCCATGATTGTTGCTCGATCGCCCTTTTCGCCCTCGATTCCGCTTCCCTCGCTTCCGTCCTCCTGCTCCTCCTCCTGCTCCTACTCCTCTCCTCCTCCTCCTCCTCTCCTCCTCCGCTTCCGTCCTTCCCCCCATGCTCCTCCCTTCCTCTCCGACTGCCGCCTCCTGCTACTACTCCTCCTACTCCTCCTCCTCCCCTCCTCCTCCTCCTCCTCCTCCTCTTCCTCCTCCTCCTCCTCCTCCTCCCCTCATCCCTCCTCCTCCTCCTCCTCCTCCTCCTCCTCCTCCTCCTCTCTCCTCCTCTCCTCCTCCTCCTCCTCCTCTCCTCCTCCTCCTCCTCCTCCTCCTCCTCCTCCTCCTCCCCCTCCTTCGCTTCCTCCTAGATCCCTTTCCTTCCTCTTGTTCGATCGCCCCTCGATTCCGCTTCGTTCAAGGCGGTTTTCGCGCTGGCCCACACAGCGTGGTCCACCGCGGCCTGCAGCCTGTTTCGAGTGATCCCAACTCCAGCACAGGCCAATCGATTATGCTTTATCCCCTGTCTTCTTTACCCTGCTCCCGTAACTACCATTGAGAACCAGAACTGCAACCCTGTGCAACATTTTCACGGATATAGAGCGGCTCCTTTCCTACTTGGGGTTTTCGCTGTCCGCGGAGAGAAGGAACGGTTGCGGGGATCGAGCAGTTGGGGTGGAAGAGTGCTTCGCAACACGCCCGCCCTTCCCAGACCCCCTCGCGTTGTGAAACAAATGCGACGGGAGGGTCTTCGATATTTTCATCGACCGGGGGCCCTCGCCGGGCCCTGGGAGCGTAACAAACGATTCAGGATGAAAAACCGGTCCCCGGGAAGGGTCCAGACTTCTGGGGGTCGACGTTGTGAAAAAAACACGACGTCGGGGGCCTGGGTTCCCAGAGACAACGCTCCCTCAGAATTGTCCTGGGATGCGCCCCGACCGAACAAGTCGAAGCAGATCCAGCCGTGGAGAGCAACCTCGCCCAAAGATCACGGACCTCGACCTTCGGTGCGAAGTCCTCGATCCCCCCGCCGGAATCCGAAAAGCAGGAAGCAGGAGGACGACGACGAAAGGGAGGAGGGGAATGATGGGGAGGAGGAGCAGGAGAAGGCCAAGGATGACGGCGACAAGGGATGACGGTAAATGGAGGGGGAGGGGCGAGGATGAGGTGGAGGAGGAGGACAAATAGGACGAGGCAAGACAGGAGGGCAGGAGGAGGGAGGCTGGGGAATGGATGTGTGCGGGAGGAACAACAAGCATACGACAGACGCCATGGATCCAGAAATGCTGACTTGCCATTTTCACCTCCGCCGCCTTCCCACCAATTTCCGCCCGCGGACCCGCCGCCGATTCGCGCACCCAGCGAGGGCGAGAGGCAGCGAGGGCGAGCCCCTGACCTGGAGCGCCCTGGGCGGTGGCATGAGTGCTAGCGGGGGGGGGGGGGGGGGAACACGTCCCGTGCCGAGCGCCGGCCACCCGTGTTGCGCAGCCCCCTGGTGCAAGCGCCTGGTCGGGAAAGCGGGGATCTCTT